GAAGTTTGACACAGATTTGAAAATTAACACCACCACATTGTAAAGAATTAAAATAACGTACAGCAGTATCAAACGATAAATCTGTATGCATACCCTTGTAGCCAGTGGACTCCACGTAGATATGATTCAGTAATGTTTTATTCGTATTTGTTGCCTGAGAATCCCATTGTATAATCATTTATCTTGAAAAATGTTGGTTTGATAAACCAGTCCAATGGCGTGAACCAAAACTAGATTATCCTTAGGTTAAGAAAATCTAACAACTGAAGACAACATAGTTTTGTAAATAAAACCACAAACCAAACAAATTATCCATCAGTTGGCAGCCTCCACTCCAAAAACAAAATGCGTAGTAGAATGTTTAGGTTTGAGGCATGCCATTAATTTGGTTTCCATTAAAGGTTGGAGGAAGTTGGCTCCAATGATATGTTTGTTTATAGATTAAACAGGTTGTATTAAGACATAAACAATGCAATACATATCTTACATTTTTTTTTTGAACTATTGAAAGGTGGTTTCCCACTAACATGTCAGTTTCATTTAAGGGAGGCCATGAACATGTCAAGATAAAGTAGGTAATATTTATGTATTATCAAAATTTGATCATTTATATATGTGTGTGTGTGTGTATTAAATTCTGCAACTGAATCTTACAGTAGTTTATTAAGACTGGCTTTTCACTGGGGTGAACATAGTGGTTGCAGTTCAATCCATGTTTAATTTAGAACATTAATGTTTAAGTGGGTTATCTAAGTGAATGTTTAAACATTAATAGGTTAGTCTATATGTTCTAGTCAATATATATTATTTTTATTGTTATTAATTATAGTATTGTTATTAATATGTTAGGTGGATATGAATGTTGATAATGTGGAATAATGCGGTGATTATCTCACAATTGAAGGAGAAGAGGCTGAAGTTACGAAGGATGGAAAATTGTTATGGGATGACGCACTCATTGAAAAATTCGTGAATATTATGGTGGAAGAAGTTAAGGCTGGTAATCGTAGTGGCACAACATATAATAAAAGTGGTTGGAATAATTTGGTAAAAGAAATGAAGGTTCAAACAGGGAGAAAATTTGGTTTAACCCAACTTCAGAATAGGTTTAATGCTTTGAGGAAAATTTATTTCGAGTTCAAGGAATTATTATCGGAGACTGGCGTGGGATATGACCATGAGACGGTCATGGTTATAGTTGAGGAAGAGAGATGGGACAGGTTGTGCAAGGTTAGTAATTTAATTATTAGTCCTAAATAAATAATAAAATCTCATATATTATTGGTTATGAGGTTAATATTGTAACAAAATTTGTAGGTTGTTATGGGTGCAAATAAGTTTCAAAGGCATGGATGTAAGCATTTTGACTAGATGTCGACTATATTTAGGGACACATATGCAACGGGGATGCATGCCCACCCGTCCACTACGGCACCCCCCGCAATCATTTTGCCCACTCCCAATGATGACGATGATGAGGAAGAGGGTTGTCAGGTCAGTCCCCCACCTCTACGTAAAGGTAAGAAAGCTAAAAGAGATGGTTTATCTCCCGGTATGGCTGTACTCTTGTCAAACATGAATGAGAATTCTGAGAGGAGAACTGAGAGAATGGAAGCTGCAATAGAGAAAGCAGCTAAAGCATCTTCTACTTCTACTCGTATATCTTCATGTGAGAAAGGAGATGATGAAGTTCTCTCTCCCTCTAAAAAGGATAGAGATGATTAAATGTTTGACACCTCCATGCTCCTTTTATAAATAATACCGGGAATTGAGATAGCCCAATTCGCTAAGGTATCGAAGTTGTTACATGATTTTGAGAAGTGGCAGAAATTTTTTCTTTCGCTACCTGAGGAACTAGAATTGGTTGGGCACTGAATGTTTGAGTCTTTCTTTATGGATGATTACGTTTTGTGTCATTGTTTAACTTATTACTATCTCACATTTGGATTACTGTAATAACTTAAATACTTTTTTTATCTCACATTTGGATGACTGTAATATTTTAAATATTAAGACACTCTCACTGAATGTTTACTTTGTTTATTATTTAAATATTTTATTTATTATTTAATTGATTTGCTTATTAACTTAAATGTTTTGCTTGTATTAAATATTTAAATAGGGTAATGGATATCTGGAACAATATAAAAAGAATAATTCAATTATATGACGATGAGGAAGATAATGAGAGTGTCATAGTATTTGTTACTTTTTTAGAAGAGCGGAACTTCTATTAAAAGAGCCGTTGTAGGGATTCAATTTTATAAGGGGAAACGTATGTTATGGAGATTCTAAACGACCATAGAGAAAGATGTTATAAAAATTTTAGGATGTACCATGAAATTTTCAGAACATTGTGTAGCACCCTGAAAGGTATAGGGCTGAAGGATTCTAAATTTTTAACTGTGTATGAACAAGTGGCAATCTTTTTGCTCACTTTATCTCATAATCAAAGGAATCGTGTTGTAGCAGAGAGATTTCAACACTCCACTGAAATCATTTCCAGACACTTCCATGCTGTGTTGCATGCAGTATGTCAGTTTGGCACCCATATTATTGCCCCTCCTGATTTTTCTGTGATTCCGAATAAGATTAAAGGGTCTTTTAGGTTTTACCCTTACTTCAAGAATTGCGTAGGAGCTATAGATGGAATCCACATTCCTGCAACTTTGTCAATAGTTACACAACTTCTATTTCGTAGTAGAAAAGGGTCATACAACACAAAATGTAATGGCAGTATGTGACTTTGACATGAGATTCACATATGTGCTAGCTGGGTGAGAAGGCTTCACTAATGATTTGAGAATCCTAAAGGACTGTATTGAGAATGAGGCAATGAACTTTCCAGCTCCACCACTAAGTATTATTATCTTACAAATTCACTTAATGTATGGTTTGTTTATCATAGTGTATATATCTTTATGTATTCTAAACATGGCAGGTAAGTATTATTTGGTGGACTCAGGGTATGCCAATAAGCTTGGTTATTTGGCCCCATTTCGAGGTCATACTTACCACTTTTAGGAATACCGTAGGAGTAGACCACCCCGTGGTCGGGAGGAAGTGTTTAATCATAGGCATTCATCTTTGAGAAATATAATCGAGCAATGCTTTGGGCTATTGAAGATGAGATTCGCTATTTTGAAGGCAATGCCTCCTTATAAGTTTTCAACACAAGTATTGATTGTAATGGCTTGTTGTACATTACACAACTTCATTATTAATCAGTATCAGCCTGATGATTTATTTGATGGTGACGATCCTCCTCAAAGTGATGGTGAAGACGATGAGATTGTTGAGCATGTGCCTCCGGCTCAGCTTCGAGAAATGGATTAGTTGCGTAATACTATTGCTGATCGAATCTGGAATTCTCTTGGGCACTCTTGATCTTCTTGAAAGTGATGGTATGCTTTTTCTTTTATATGTAATATATTTGTTGCTATTGTGGGCTTGTAATATATATATGTAATATATATTATTTTTGCTTTTACTATTATCGGCTGATATTATTGTTAATATTTTTTAACTTAAATTCTACCATTGCAGATGTGAAGTGTGTTGATACTCTCTTGAAGGTGATGTGTGCTGTTATGAAGATGATGTGTTCCATGGAAGTGAAATTTGTGTTTTTTGAAGTATGTCTCCTGTAAGATCTCCTGTAACAGTTAAGGAAAACATAAGGAAACATCTTTTTATTTGTTAAGCATCTTTTTCTTCGTTTTTGAATCATATTGTTGAAATTCGTAAACAATGAAGTGAATTTTGTTTAAACTTTGAATTATATCTCCTGTTTAATTTAATCTACTGTTTAATTTGTTCTCAATTTCTTTGTCATTTTTCCTAATACAGAAGAATGAGTATGATTTGAGAAGCTTCCTTGCAAGCTTCCAGTCTAGCTGGGTGTCTTTTTTATTTTTTATTTTTTATTTTATTTTTATGTTATGACTCCTTGATAGATGTTTTGTGAAGTTTGATTCTAAATAGATGGATTAGAAATGAAAAAGGTAATCTTAATATCTAGATCATAAGAACACAGTAAAAAGATGGAACTTTACATGTCATCAAGACTCAAGTTGATGCGAAAACATTGGTCTCGGGATGGAAAAAAACAAGAATTTTGTAGTGCAATTAATGGGAACCAAGATTTTGCACAGATGAAGGCTTTTCTTCATTCATTTATTAGTTCAATTACTAGAACTAATATTCTACATTTTCGCTGAAGCAGTTGCTTCTGTAATTACACTTTGGTTATATATATATATATATATATATATATATATATATATATGTTTGTGTGTTCAAATTTCAATATATTTAGTAAAAATATATAGACTATTTATACAGAAATAAATTTATAAATAAATTTAAAATTTATAAAAATAAATTAAAAACAATGATAACCAAATATATTTTTTGTTTTTGTTTTATTTTTTATTTTTACAACAGTTAGAGTTACCAAACATGTTTTATTTTTAAAATTCTTGAAACGCATGGCTTACCAAACATGTTTTGCATGTTTCTGTTTCTGACATTTTCACAGCAAAACATCGTTCCCAAACGTGCTTCCGATTTTTGCCAAAATACTCCAATAGTAAAAACACTGTTTCTATTTTAGCCAAAAATAAAACGCCTAAAGCAAGACACATGCCAAAGAGGCCCTTAGCTTCTAAAATATTCTATATTCGAATAATTCTAGATTTAAGTTCTTCTATTATTTGTTGTAGGCTACGCGTTATGTTTCCTAATTCTTACGCAATGTAACAATTCCCAAGTGCTATCTGCCAAAATTCTAGAACTTGTACAAGTGTTTCTTTGGGTAGATTGTGGATAAAATAAGCTTTAGGGATGAAACTAAAATTTTTGCTTAATAAAGGGTTCAAATAAAATGTCTTAACTTTTAGTTCATGCTATGGTAAATATGCAAACTACCTTCATGAATTGGTAATATACCTTTACTATTACCACTTATATGTATATTTCCCGTTCTTCTAACCTTCGGTGTATAAGGCAGTATCTACGGTCTGCAATCTGTATGTAACTAATCGTATAACCGTTCCCTTTGACGAACCAGGCTCTCCTCTCTATCCATCTATATATAAATATATATAACACGCGCTGATTCACATGCTGATTACATGTATTGAATAAATTGGGCGCACAACATGTGTTCCATTGACTGAGATTTTCGTTGTAACTGTCTTCTATTGGGTGATCGATGATCTGAGGTTAGTAGATGAGTTCTTTCAAACAATGCCTAATTTGTTCGTTGATTTTGTATATGAAATTAACTTGTTAGGTTGGTCACAGTTGAATCGCTTTGGCTCACTCTTCACCTTATTGCAGCGTTTATGTTCTTGAAGTTTCTTTAATCTTGTTGATTTGCTTCCTTTCAAATATATAATGAATGAGTAGTTTCACATACATGTATGTGTGTGATTGGGCGTGGATGAAATCAAATCACAACGAAAAATTATGGAAAAATGTCATTTTCATTGTAAAGTTAAATTCCTTAATTTTCTTTTTAGGAATTGAATTGGGTAATGTTCAAACCACAAACAAAATAATATGCCATTCTCAGTCCTGAAAAAAGATCTTAAGTCTTCCCCTCACCGCTCCGCAATTCAAGAACAAGAACACCACTTTCATGTACCTGCGGATGGGAATGGTAAGATGGATGAGTGGAGTGACTAGGAGGGATAGGATCAATAATGAAAGTATGAGGAAGAAATTAGGTGTAGCACGTATTGGTGGGAAAATTAGAGAGAGTAGGCTTAGATGGTTTGGACATAGAGTACATACATCAGAGATCTAGAGATGCCCCAGTCAAACCAGTGAGACTAGTTGTAATAGAAGGTAAGAGGGGATGGTGACTAAAAATAACATGGGATTGGGTTGTTAAAAACGACTTAAAAAAATTAATAGAAATGACATATAGTAGAAAAGATTGGAGAAAGAACTCATGTGGCCGACCCATTCATATGGGATTAAGGCAAGGATGATGATGAGTCCTGAAAGAAAGAATGGCTCACAGTTGAATCGAGTCTTGTTGTCTTTCTGCCCCTTTATGTCTTGTTTTGGGCAAATCATAGTGGTTGCAACAAGATATAGATCAACAGCTGAATGGATGAGAAACATATATGTGTTTCCTTTTTGCACGTGTAGAGAAACCCGTATACCCCCTTTTTCTTCTCATGTTTACTTCTGTTTATTCTTATATATAATACTAATTGGCAATTGTTTGGGTCATGTTATTGGAGAAATTAGTTAATGATTTCAGATGAATGATGAAGGGTTTGAGTGATTTTAGCTCTTTAATGTGGTATGGTTTTCGCATAAGATTTTGTCATGTTGTCTGGACTGGATAATACTGATTGGGGGGCTGTGATATGTTACTGTAGCTGTATGTAGAGGGGCAGAGTTTATTCATAATGGCCTCAAGAGCGATATTGCGAAGGAAGAGGCACCTCTTCAATTATCTGAATCAGCCCACATGCTTGATTCGGGGTTTTTCATGTTTTGAGTATGGGGGTTCATCTCAGCTTCCTGATTCACGGGATTTGAGTTCGGCTGCCAGTTGTCCATCTGTGGATACAGATAATAGAAATGCAGATTTATTTTCCCTAACCAAGGGGGAGTCATCAAGTTTATCTGCAAGAGTATTTCTGAGGCAGAACTATTGTGTAATTCCAACTCCGGGTTATGGCACTGGAAGAACAGGGTTTTTATCCCCTTTGGGAGTTAGATGGATATCGGAGTCCATGCGCTATTCTTCAACCGCTACAGCAGGGCAACCAAAATTGAATAGCGATAATGATGGAAATGAAGAAAAGGATGCTAAACAAAGAAAGGAAGCTTCACCGGAAGAATGTGACCAAGCAGTCGAAGGTCTGAGCACGGTGAAAGCCAAAGCCAAAGCTAAGAAGCTGCAAGAACCCCAGAAGGGTGCTAAATTTATAATAAAGAGACTATGGACTATGCTTTTAGGGATTGGTCCTGCAATGAGAGCCGTTGCATCTATGAGCAGGTTAGAAAGATTTTGGTCTTTTGTTTTTGTATGTTTCATCTAAATTGATTAACCCTTCACTTACTAGTTGTTCTCTCCTTTTAGGGAGGACTGGGCAAAGAAGCTTCACCACTGGAAGGATGAATTTAAATCTACAATGCAACACTACTGGTTGGGTACAAAACTACTTTGGGCTGATGTTAGAATAAGCTCGAGGTTGCTTATAAAACTTGCTGGTGGGAAAGGTCTTTCTAGGAGGGAAAGGCAACAACTCACTCGAACGACAGCCGATATTTTCAGGCTAGTTCCTGTTGCAGTTTTTATTGTAGTTCCATTCATGGAGTTCTTACTGCCAGTATTCCTGACATTGTTTCCCAACATGTTGCCGTCAACCTTCCAGGACAAAATGAAAGAACAGGTAATGGTTTACAATTATTGTCACAAAATATCTTCAACTTCTCTAATCTCAATTCATGTAGTTGGCTAAAAATATTCATTTAAGTCTTTTCTCCACCATATGTTTTCATAAACTCTTTGAAGATTTGTTACATAACCTGGTGGTTCTTGACATAATTGGGCCTGTGATGCTTATAAATGATGCTGGATCGCTTTTCATGAGAAATTTTCATAATAGAAAAAGGAAATTGTTCATAAGAGAGAGAGAGAAAGGAACATTGTTCATAAGAATGCCTACGTGATGCACGTCTTTTAGTTTCTAATAATGACTTATTAGATAAGTGATCAAAGCTTAAAAATTATTTTACATTAAAATTTTATGATCTGGACATAGTTAACATTATTCTGTTTTTGTGTATTTCTTTTTTGTAATATATTATAATTTTGTCTTCAAAAGCTTAATTTTCTGTCTTTTTTTCCCTATTAGTACAATTGGAGGTGATGGTAAAGTTGAAATGCCTTCGGAACTTTCTACCAAAGAACCCACAGGTTCTTATATCAGTTGGTTTTCTGTTTTTTTACCAGAGATGCCCATTTACAACTAATCTACAACTTTAAATGCCTTCTGTTAGTAAATTCTCCACAGCTTATGATAGGAGCCATAGGGACATATATAAGATCTAGTTAAATTAGATTAAACAGTTCCAACTTTATTATGCTTTCAGTCTCTCCACATCAGACAAAACCAAAACATACTTTCTTATATGCCTCAAAGGATGACTTTCCAGAGGAAATAACAAACAGTTTTATTTCCAAAAAAAAAACTTAAATATTTATTTATTTAAGACTTAATGGAAAACATATAAGATTTGCATTCTTGTTTGATGAAGTTGTGGTAAAAAGGATGAGCAAATATCTTTGTTAATGAACCTAAGAAATTTTATGAAACTTATGTTTCATTAATAAATTTTATTCTTTAGGAAATTCTTCATTTGTTTGTGTACATTTCTAATACATTACATGGATTTGAGTATCTTTATTGGGTGTGGATGTGTGTCTAAATATCAAACTTCCCTAAATCTATTGTCTTATGATATGACTACTCAACTTGAAATGTGTCCAAAAGTTGCACATCTAAGTATGTTATGCACATGTAAAGACATAATATGATATATAATTGTACAATATATGGTGTTATTGTTCTTTATGGATAATTGGATATACATAATTATAATTTAAATAATGGGATGTGGTGAGAAAATGGAGATTCCATCAATCTCAGATGTAGGAAACCTTATCCAGCTATCAAATTTGGGATAGCTGTTTGATTTGACACATTTTCCATACACCTGCCCATGTTATGTTGTGTTGACTCAACTACATTGCGGGCAACAACATCCTTTTTTTTTTTTTTTTTTTTTTAGTAAGTAAAATTGTATTAAAGAGCGTTGAAAAAGGAAACACATCCCTTAAAAACTACATGAGGCCAACTTTCAAGGAGCCCAAAATATCGGCAATCTTCTCCATGGATTTACAATTTCTCCCTAGAACCCAACAAAAAGGGTGCTAATAATGGAGAGCTTCAGTGCTTCAATACGAGTCTCCTTTCATTCGAAGGATCTCCTATTTTTTTCGAGCCAAAAGCACCACCAAACGCATAATGGTGCTACCCTCCAATAATCATGGGCTTAGGCACCACTGTGCACCCTCTCTAAGTCTCCACCAAGCCTCTCGAGGACCTGGGCATAACCCACCGAACCCTAAACAAACCCAATAACAATCCGCAGCAGTACCGAGCCACAGGGCAATGCAAAAGGAGGTGATTCACCGTCTCCTCATCTCTTTTGCGCATGCAGTACCAATTGACAACAACCTGTCTCCTCCTCAAGCTATCCAAAGTCAGAATACTCCCCAACACAGTTGTCCACACAAAAAAAGCCACCTTGAGAGGGGCCTTCTAATGCCAAACAACTTTCCACGGGAAGGAAATTCCTGGAACATCCATAAGGCATAAAGAGACCAGACATCAAATCGGCCCTGAGAAGAGGGAACCCTTACCCTAAAGTCAAGACCAATGCCCCCCACCTCTTGACGGTAAGAAAGCTCCAGGAACCCAATGTTATCCTCCATTTCCCAATCTTGAAAGTGCCTCAAAAAATGCATATCCCAAGTCATTCTTCCACTATGAAGCTGATAGCAGTCAACCACCATGGCGTGCCTATCCGTGGCAATCCTGAAGAGTTTGGGGAAAGAGCATGCAAGAGAACAATCCCCACACCAAATGTCCTCCAAAAATCTGATTTCCCTACCTTCCCTGATTCGAAACCTAATTTGTTTAAACAATTCATCTCATCCCTTTCTCATGAATTTTCAAACCCCAACTCCACCTGAAATTCTCACCTCACGAGAACACCAGCCTCCGTTCTCTTTCCAAAAATTGCAAGCAATCAGTCTCCTCCTCAATCTATTTCTCTCCACACCAAACCTCCACAACCACTTTTTTTTTTTTTTTTTTTTCCTAGTTAGTACTTATACACACATGCCTTCACTGAAGTTCGAACCCCTGACCTCCCTTTGGGAAGTAGGGTCCTGGTACCGCTAGGCCACAGGCCTGTTGGTCCTCCACAACCACTTCCCCAAAAGGGCCTTATTAAATGGCTCCAATCTTCTAATACCCATGCCTCCCAATTGAATCGGGCTACAAACCTGCTCCTAGTTAACCAAATGGTACTTGAATTCTCTCTATTACCACCCTAAGGAAGTTCCTCTGAATCTGCTCAATCCTCTGTGCCACAGAAGAGGGAATATGAAAAAGCAAGAGGAAATAGGTAGGAAGACTTGACAAAGTGCTTTTCATTAAGGTTATCCTCCCACCTTTCGTCAAGTATTACTTCTTCGACCCTCCCAGCCTCCTCTCAAATCTTTCTACAACCGGATCCCAATCACCCACTCTCTTCAAAGACACCGCCAAAGGTAGCCCCACATACGTGATGGGAAAGGAATCAACGCTGCACCCTAGTGTGTCTGCAAGAGAAGCAATGTGAGGGACCTCCCCAATATGAACCATGACGCTCTTCCCCACGTTTACTTTTCAAGCCAGAAACAACTTGAAACCAAATCAACACACATCTCAAATATCTCGTCCGAGACTCATCAGCGTCACAAAAAACTAAGGTATAAATGAGAAATCTCCAACTGACTGAGAGGGTCCCTTCCCACCCTAAAACCTCTGATAAAGCCCAAATCCACTGCCCTTCTCATCATCATAGTGAGAGCCTTCATCACAATGAGGAACATGAAAGGGGAGAGCAGATCCCCCTCCCTTAATCCCGACGAACTGCTGAAAAAACCAGTCGGAGCTCCGTTCACCATAACCGAGAACCTAACAGTGGAAATACAAAGGTTAATCCACCTCCTCCACCTCTCCCCAAAACCCATCCTCTATCATATAGAGTAAGAACCTCTAGTTCACATGATCATAAGCATTCTCAATGTCAAACTTGCACAGAACCCCAAGAACCCCACATTACTCAATCTGGAATCAGTGCACTTGCCTGCAATAAGAACTGAGTCCAAAATCTGACGATCTCCAACAAAAGCATTTTGAGAGTCCAAGATAACCCTATCCATAATCTCTCTCAATCTTAGGGCAAGAACCTTAGCAATAAGCTTGTAAGTGCATCCCACCAAGCTAATAGGTCTGAAATCCCTAACATTTGACGCCCGCCCACCCCCCACCCCGCCGGACTAAAATTCTCTTCTGCGCAACAGTAAACCGTTCCCCTCAAGTTAGTGATGCACATTAAGAAAATGTTGTGATGTTAGGCTTGCATCCCAACATTTTCCTAGCATGCATCACTAACTAGAGGGGACCAGTTTACTATTGTGTAGGAGAGGATTTTGATCCGCCCCCCCTCCCTCCTCCTCCTCCTCCTCCTCCTCCTAGGGATAAGAGTAATGAAAGTGGCATTCAGACAGTTCTCAAACTGACCCTGAAGATGAAAAGCATGAAATGTGCCCATCACCTCCCCCCTAACCACCTCCCAGCTCTCCATAAGGAATCTCATTGTGTAGCAATCCGGGCCATGGGATTCATCCCCATTACAGCTTTTCAGAGCCAGCAATACTTCCTCTTCAGAAAAAGGCCTCTCCAACTTCACTATCCAAATCAGAAATCAAAGCAAACTGCAGTAAGGGTCTCCAACTAAAGGTACTGAGACCTCTAGTTGGAGATACTTGGGTAATGCAGTTTACTGTTAGGACAATATGAAGCCTTGATGCAAAAGCTTTAACTTGATTGTTGTAATACAAACTAAAATTGATAATTATGATTAGGGTTGGGTCCTGAGTCACGTAGAGTTGGAGCGCGAAAAAGCGCTAAATTATGACTTTTTTGAGGGTGGGATCATTTTAGAGCACCTCTTTTATATATATATTTACTGTTAGGACAATATGACTTTGATTGACAAACTTCATCCACAACAGTGTCTGTAATCTTGCTTTTAGTTTTTGTTTGTGTTTTAAAAGTTAGTTAAGTTAGGTAGTTGAGTTACCTCTTGTCCAAGGGCAGAAGAGGATTTCAAACTTTATATAAATGCAGAAACGTAATTTCAGCTGTCACTCATGCGCTTACCAATTAGGGTTTTTGTTTTCGTTGCATACATACAATTCAGGTTTTCAATTATGATTTGCTGCATTAAAATCCTTTTTGAAATGCATAGAAGTGTTTTTGGATCATTCCATATTTAAAATCCTAAGCCCAATTGGAGAAAGCACTTCGATCAATCAAGACTTAGTAACAAGGTTTGATTGATCAAAAGGTGCGAAAAAATAGTTTCCAAATCTGATTTGAACTCTTTTAAACCTAAGTCTTTTTATTTCCAGTTTTATAAATAAGACCCTAAGTCTTCGGAAAACCTATGCCAAGAGAATATAAGTGTAAGCAAGCACATATATTTGTGAGGCGATTTTAGAGTGCATCCTAGCAATCTAATTGCTAGAACTTTGTTTCTTTCATTCACC